GGGCTGAGTGCCTGCATTAGAGCATGTCAGCTTAACCTTTTACACCCTAACATCAGTATGCATATTCTCCATACTGTTATCTATATAATTTCAAAGGTGCTGACCAGGAGAATTTGTTTAAAAATCAAGAGTCTCTTTAGTTAGTGATCATTTTTCATTATTTTTGCGACCTTAGTGTAAGATTCAGGGGGGATGTCGTAAGGAGAAATTAGATGCTAGTCACTTAGGGGGTTAAGGGTCATCAAACCTTTCATAAAAGTTCCACATTACAAAAGAAGAGATTTACTCCAAGACTTATAAAAGAAATACACTTTTATTTAGTAAGGGCATTTTCCAGCCACAATTTTCTTCAGAGGAGATAACTTACAGCTTGCCTGGTAAATAGAAAACAAGATTATATAGTCTTCAATTGTAAGATTCAATTGTGCGTGACCTCTCACGTACGTGCATTACCCTTGATTCAAATTTTAACCCTTAATCTCCACGTGACTCGTTTGATTACACCTTTAAGTTTTCGTTTTTCATTGTAATATATATTCAATGTTAGCCCTTTGTTATCGCAAGTTCTTGATTTTCAATCAACGGTTATTTCACTTGGCCCGTTAAGTCAATAGCAGGAAATATCTGTAAGTTGTTAGTCCTTTTTTCGTTTTCATTTTGTTTGTCAATTTTCTTAGATCTATTGTGATTTACAATGCAATTTTTCCTTTTAGTCAAACCATCATTTGCATCATTTACATCATTACCTTCTACATGATCAGATGCATTTAATTTAATCTATGACTGTGAACGAGGAATAAATTTTCTCTTTTAAATCAACTCTTGGCTTGAGTTTATATCAATTACCATGAAACACTACATAAACGGATGTCAAAATGCCAAGTGTAATACTAAATACCTCAAAAAGTTTTTGTTTAAATACTAGGAAGTTTTCTTCACCCATGGAGAGCCAATGGTAATTTTGAAAGGATCTCAAAAGGCTAAAATTTTTAAAGGAGAACTTGAATTTACAGTGCAGTGGGAAAGGTGAAAACAGAAAGAAACTTTCCATGATAATGTTCTGTATATTCTTAATCCTTCAATACCTTGGATATCATTGTTAATTCTCTCCTCTAACTGCCACACATGTCCTTGTAAACTATCATAGTTATAAGAATTTTGTCTTAGATCAAGATAAAAACTTTTCAATAAGTTTGAGTATTCTCCTCACCTGTTTGCTGGATAATAAATATGAAAGGAAGACATTTCATGTTAATCACTTCAGGGAGTCAAAGAGTTAACACAAACATACACTGCACAATTAGTTTTCTTTCTGTTATCAGCTAGACAAAACTCAACACTCCAGTAGAAAAAGAACTACTGCATAATGATAATTTATAGTAAATCTGAAAACAAATTTTAATCTTTTTCTCTGACCAAGGGACAACCAACACAGATAACTTGTTTTTCACACAGTCATCTGAGAGTCTGAATATTTGGGTATGGGAGCTTATTTACAAATTATGTGGCAAACAGTTTTCCTTGTGATTTGCTCATTACTAAAAGAATTCCCTCTCTGGTCAACCCTTCCTGACCTTTCTTTCATCCTGTTTATCTTAATTCTCATACATCAGTTTTCTCTCTTCGTTCTTTGTGGCTCTGATTAGGCCATAGCTTTTGTACTCTCTTGTCCCAAAGCTTTTCACTGCTTCCAGTTGTGCGTGAGCAAGTTAACATGCTGAATTTCTTGCAACAGATTGAGGGATTTGAAAAATTACCATCCTCAAGACATCATTGTTGTCACAGCAACATGTCATGATATCAAAGCATCATATGATATGCACCAACTATATTACACATGTAACAAGTATCACTGCATCCTTATACAATCTTTCTCAAAATAGACTGAAATCTAACAGATTCTATACAACGTAAATCAAAATATAGCTCCAATTCAATTACTTTTCATGACTTTCTTTATCCTATATTTTCCTTTCTGTAATTGTCCTATGTACAACTTTGTTTTTGATCCATCTCCTTTTCTCACCCACACCTGAAAATCACAAGTAAACAATTACTCTCAATCAAGTAAATGTTTCATAGGAAAAATATTAATATTAACCCTTTAAACCCCATTGTAAACATGTTAAGGGCTGGTTAATTTCTTGAGGGCTAACCCAGACTGTTTTTTTATGCAACCAGTGGGCCTTATGTATTCTCTACAAGAGGATTGTTTTCATTAAATTAATCTCCTTTCACTGGTAGCTTTTGGCCATTTTGACAAAATTCACAAATATAAATATTCAGGCAAAAGATTTAGCCAAATTCAAGATAAATTAGAATGTGGTTTTGTTAAACAACTGCTAAACTTTGTTAACCCTTTACACCCTAACATTAATCTGCATAATATCCGTACTGTCCTCTTTACATTTCCTGAGGTGCTGACAAGAAGAATTGGTTTAATAATCAAGAGAGTCTTTAGTTAGTGATCACTTCTTTGATTCTCATGATACCAATGTGT